GTGACATTTGTTGGAACGCTTGGGAATGAATGGAAAGGAAGACCGGAGTAATATCCTCATTAGGCAGAAGGAATTTGTCTCCACTAGCATCATTGAGCACTTTATTGTAGCACATTAGTAATTATTATTTAGTTATAAATAGTAATAAGCAGTTAATAATCAAATATGTACTATAAAAAGTCCTATGATATGAGAGAATTGGTGGGAAGGGGAGGGCAGGAAAAATTTCAATAAGTTTGATTTGAAAATTTGGAGAAATATAATTATAAAATTTTAATAAAGAGAAGATTTAAGATAAAAAGAGTAATCAAAATTAGTTAAAAGTTTTTAACCCTAATTCTCTCTATTTTTTTAAATCAAGTTTATTAAAAATTTCCTTTACTCTCTTTCTCTCTATTTTTCTCATACCAAATGGACCCTAAATCAAGTTTATTTTTGTATATAAAAGTTTAGGTGAGTTGGGTTCCGGGAGCTCACCGGGCCAGGGCATGCCTCTAGGCTCAAAAAGCGCTTACAAAGGTACTTACAGATCGCCACCAACAAGGTCCTCACATCGGTAACGGGATTCAAACTCACAACCTTGTGGGTTATGAGTCGACTCCTCACTAACTGGACCAACTTTGTTGGTTAAATCAAGTTTTCATTAGATTCAAGTATTTCCATTTTATTGTCTTAGATTATAGGCCTGACAGAGAATGGGCTTTTTGCTAAATTAATGATTTTTTTTCAGTACAAAAATTAATGATGATGGCGAATAAATAAAAATTGCAAACAATGTGTATTGTGAAAGCATTAAGACACATGTAAATGCATGATGGTGGAAACTGTTCTAAAAAATAACTACTAATATTGTGTACCATGAGAAAGTTAGAAATTTGCATCAAAATATGAAGTTTCAATGTGCTACATAAAGAAAAGCATGTAGGGATATATTGTTATCATAATCAATTAATCACAATGAAATTGGTTGATGAAATTGGTTCATGAAATGTATTTGTTTTAAATATTTGCTTAGTGTGAAAAATATGAACCCCCAAAATTAACATGAAACTATTCTAGAATTACAAGCATCTTATGCAACACGCAAAGAAGCACGTGCTAATTCAGTTAAATAAGTCTCTATATGAAGGCGCATGTGATGTAATTGACATTTACTAAATCGGTTAAAGCGATAATATAAAAATATTTCAAATTACCCATATATAAAAAATCTAGAAAAGGGTTTGTTATTATTGTTATTTATACATTATGTGTTCTGATAGTTGCAAGATCTTTAGATGTAAACTAAAGATTCATTTAAACCTTCAAAAGGTGATAAATAAATAATTGGTCTAGAAGCACTATATCTTAGTGTCATTGAAGCACTTATATGTTTAGCTAGCCACATAAAACTTGATAGATCATTTGTTAATTAGCATGATATAGTTTTTCATGAACATGAAGACATTAGAATGAAACTAAGCACAACCTTCATTACTTTAAGGGTACTGTGGAGGTGATATTATTTTATCTGAATATACCCAAGATTAATCTTACTAGCTTTATGAATAAAGAATTCTTGTTTCTCTCATGATTTTAAAAAGGTTATGAAATTAATATTTGATCTTTTTATATCGCTACAACATTTGGAAGGCTTGTTTGTTATATTAGACTTTAGAGGCTTAAAGATGTCAACTAATGTTACTAAGAGGGTGAGTTGTATACATTATACTCTTTTTTCCCTTGTCTGTGGTTTTGTCCCATTGAGTTTTCCTAGCAACGTTTCTAATGAGATAGCATTACATAGTGTACCAATAAATGATATAATGATTTTCTTCTACTATCTTTTTGTCCCATAGGGTTTTTTCTAGTTGAATTTTTTAATGAGGCACGTTCATATATAATAGACATCCAAGAGGGAATGTTATTAATATAACAATATCTTTGTGGATGTGCATATATCTCACATTATCTTGTATATCTTCTATAATCTCTAATATTTCACGTTATCTTTATATCCAACAATTATCTTCTATTATTATGTAATCTATATATTCTGTCAAAGATATAAAACAGTACCTATAAATAAAAGCCATGTATAATATATTTAGTATCTTGAATAAAATAAGAAATACTCCTATCTTCTTTTCTCTCTAATTCTCTTCTCTTATTCTCTACTCCACCTTAGTTTTATAACAAATATAATAATATTAATAACATTCATTTTTACAATCCTAAAGTTATTAACACTAAAAAAGGTTAATATGAACTTTGGTCCTTCAAGTTTACTCTCATTTTGATTTTGGTCCTTCAAATTTTAAACTATATGTTTTGGTCCCTCAAGTTTCTTTTCATTTAAAACATTGGTCCCTATAATCCAATAAAAACACAGACCATTTTGTTCTTTGAGAGACCAAAATCTATATCTTGAAATTTGAGGGACTAAAACTAAAATGATGACAAATTTGAGGAACTAAAAATTATATTAACCCAAAAATATTGTATTTGGTATAAAATATTTTAATAAAAGCAATGCTAAGAATATCATATTAAATAGTAAAAGTAATACATATGTAATTTATTATAACAAAGGAACTACCTCCACTTCCTTTTTTTTTTAACCAGAATTTTCTCTCAATTTTTAATTTTATAATCCGTAGAGAATAACAAAGTTCTCAACTTTATAATTTGATATATATATATATATATATATATATATATATATATATGTGGAATGGCGCGAGAAGTGGGCCTTAGAGATAAAATTAAAAATAACATGAATGCTTGCGGGACAAAAAAGAAGGAAAAAGTATTCTAAAGGCTGCAAGTCACATATAGTTTGACTGGCATGTCATAGGTAGAGCTGGTAATAAAAATCAGACTCGTTTTAAAACGAATTTTTTGAGTTCGTAACTGCCAAGATCAAACCCGCGACAGGCTAACCCGCAGGGTTGGCAGGCCAGCCCGTTTTATTTTATTTTATTTTTTAAAAATTTTTTCGTCCCTCACATATAATTATGTTTACTTCTTTGGTCATTTATCTCATTCTTATTATTTAAAATTATCATAATGTAATATATCTTTTATTTTGTATTATGAATTTTACTTATGACAAAGTTAGTTGAGCAAAAAGAAGATAATTCTACTTATGAAGCTTAATCAAATAATTTCACATCTTCATGTCATTCTTTAAATTATATCAACATTGAATGGTAGTTAATGATTGAGCATTTGATAGTTATTTGCAATATTGTGTTTGTATTATTATTAATTTAGATTTGTTATGTTTTAATTTGGGATATATGTTTAATAATTTAGGATAATGTATCATGTATGCTTTATAGTAGTATTTTGGAATGTTTGGAATTTTGGATTTCATATATTATTTATGATAATTTCTATATGCATATTTTATTTTAGGTATTTAAGAATTAGAATAAATTTTATTAAAAGAAAACAAAAGACACCAAAAAAATTTTAAAAAAAAGTGGCAAGTTGGTGGGCGTAACCCGTCAACTCACTCTAATGGGCTAGGTTGGAAAAATATCAGCCTGTCAGAAGTCGGTCTTTTTAGGACTGACCCGTCGGTCCTTGAGACTGCCACGGGTCAACATATAACTGGTGGGTTGGCCCGTATTGCCAGTTCTAGTTATAGGTGTATTAAATGCTTTAGTAACCCATACCTTCTTTTTGATTTGACTCATACCTCTTGTATCCAGTTACCCAATTTAAAGTCAAGAGACTTATTCGACTCTTCCTCTTTCCTCTCTGCGTCCCTTCTCTCTCAGTCTTTCGTCTCTTTCCCAAGCAAGGGGTTTAAAAAGTAAAGAACAGAACATGCCACTCCTGCAACTTGAGCAACACCATTTTCGTCCGTCCAGATATCTGCTGCTGCGAATGCTTTCTTTTTATCCTCTCTTCTCCTCTTTTATAGCTTGGATCTCTCCTCCTTTGTTACTGCTCACTGCTTCCTCTATTTTCTCGTATCTCTTTATATCTCTTTCATTATTTTTCTTCCCATTTCTTCTTCCTTTCCCAGATCTTCCTATAAAAAGGTGAACTGGGTAACCCACCTAAGCTAGTGGGTTACTCGGGTTAATCCCGGTTTGTACTAGTTAATCTGGTTTGTACTAGCTTGATAGTTTCCCAGTTCAAGTGACAAATTGGACTAAAAAATTGGCCGATCCAATCTGATTTTTTCCCTTGCCTTCAGGTTAGTTATGAATCAGTTTCGCAAATAAGTGTGATTCATGCTCAACTTTTAACTCGATTAAGTCCTTTAGCTTTTCTTTTTTAATAAATTAATTCTTATCATATATACGTCATTTTGAGCCATCACTTAATTTTGCTATGCGGCAAAAATTATATTGACATGGCTTCCAAATAAACTCTTCTGATTATTGATCATCCATTGCCCAAATTGCAATAGCAGTTTGGAATCTCTCCTTTTTTTTTTAACAATTAGATTAAATTTTTTATAAACTATTTATTAAAAAATTAAAAATATTTATGTATTTGGAAGTCATTAGAGTTAAATTTTAATAGTTTGTAATTTATTATTTATTTATTTTTATAATTTAATATTTTGATAATAATTTTAAAAATATTTAAATCTCAACTGTTAAAATATTAATCTAAGGTTAAAAAAAGAAAGAGGAGGGAAGAGGAGGAGAAAGGAAAATGACAAACAATCCCTCCCGTCTCCCTTTCTCTACCATGACAGTAATAATTTTTGCCACATAGTGATGACTCAAAATGACCTATATACGATAAGGATTAATTTATTAAAATAGAAAAGTTGAAGGACCAGGTTTTAAATGAGTTAAAAGTTGAGAAATTGAGTCGTATAATTGAACTAAAACTTGAAGGACCAAAAAATTAATTTTTTCTTAGTCGTAATTAGTGAGCTGAAAATCCAATCTAAACCTTTTTTTTAGGGGGGAGCCCATAGAGATGAAACTTGATTTTCCCCCGTTCTGCATCGAGCAAGCCTTACAAATCTAACAAAAGTTTGGAGAGAGTAACAATGAAAATCAAGATATCTTAATCGTCCATGTCATCCATAGGACTCTCACAATCATCCTCTGATATAAACGAAAAGCTCGTCCATATTCTGGCCAAAAAAGGGTAAAAAAAACTTGTAGGCACACTTGAGGAGGCTATAGAAATCTGATATATCATGCACGTACGTATATATTATATTCTACATGAATTGCAAAACATACGATGATTTGAGCACGCTTAGCTTGTTTTGCCACAAAATTAAAGAATCCTTGCTGGATCGGTCACAGAGATTATCAGTGCTAGGCTAACATAGCCACAAGATCATCTATTGACTTTAAAGTCCTCTCGTAGTACAGGTACGATTCATATACCTTTGGCGAGCGAACATATCGATCAAGCTGAACACACACCCATTAACACAACCACATCAGAACTTCAATTTAAGGGTAAAAAATAATGGAAATAGATAGTTCAGATCTGGTTGCTATCACTAAGTAGCTAGTGATGTAGAAGGTTGGTGTCTATGTTGCCATACATGTAAATCTTTTAAATTCTAAGGACCAAATTAACAAATTTTTTATTCCCCTGTGGACCACTAATGATAAATACGCATTGTCCCACTTGTAAATTCCTATGGTTTGAGTTGTAAATAGTTTTAAATATCTTTTTAATTGTAAGCTTGTTTTTATATGAATGATAAATACACATGGTTGGACTGGCAAGTTTGATGAATCTGTGAATTTGATCTTTCAACATAATTCTCTCAGTTTTCATGCTTAATTACGGGCGTTATTGTTATCAAAAGTGCAAATATCACAGTTTAGATTTATAAACAGGGATTATGGTCCAAATTAGAATGTCGTAAAACTGTTTCTCTCTTCTCCCCTCTTCAAATGCTCACAATCTAAAAAGACCAACTGGTTAATTACATGTACATACCTCGGCCATGTTGTCGACCAACTCATTGGCAACCTTAACATAGTCCTTTCGGAGACCTTGGGGCAAGGTGGCCATGGCGGTTTTCAAATCCTGATCAAGATAGGCCTGTTTCAGGCGAATGTAGAAAATGACATACCTCCACGACATGTTCTCCAGCATCTCTCTCATGCTGTGCAGCCCCTCCGCCGTCTGCTTTATCCTTGCCACAGAGTCCTCCGGCGACAGCCCCGGCTCGAAGAAGTGCTCACGGAGGAAGGAACGGGTCCCCCAGTTCTGGGCCAAGGCTTGGGGCTGCGCATGAGCTCCTGCAAGTGCTGCCATTGAAGTGGCCAAGAAGGTTGAAACCAGTTTCCTTCTGTTGGTGGTTGGGTTTTGCTGTGAAGAAGAGAATGCGGATTGGTTTGCGGAAGAAGACGACGCCGACGAAGAAGAAGAAGATGATGACTGATTGGTGTTTTGGTGTTTGGTTTTGACATGGGCATGGAGGAGTGTGGTGGTGTGAGTGAAGCTGGACATGGTTTTGGATAAGTCTGCGCCGTTTTTGGTTTCTGAATTTCAAATTCTGATTCTTATTCGATGAATGAGATAAAAGGAGAAGAAGATGATGCGGAGAGGTCTGCTGGGCATGTGGCCCCACCACGACCTTAACTTTCTGCCACGTGGTACCATTATCTTCTTTGTATTTCTTCTTAATTTAGGAACAACTGAGGATAAATTCTTTGTTGATAAATTAATTAGTAAATACTACCTACGACAATAAATATAAAACTTAATTTGTAGTGTAATTCACACTACAAATTATATATGTCTGATATTTAGGACTGAAATAGTAATTCTTAAGTATTTTGCATAATTTAACTTTTCTTATGTATAATCCATTTTTTGTTTTGTACAATAATTTTTTCTTGTATGACATTTTGCTTTTGTGTAGCTGAACTTCTCTTATATATAATTCTTCTTTCCTTGTGTGTGACTCATCTTTATTATGTACAAATTAGTCCTAATATCTTTGCGCAAACAATTTTTCTTTCATACAACTTAATTTCTATTGTGTGCAACTTATCTTTCTTTGTGTAATTCATTATCCTAGAAATCATTTGCTACTTAATTTTTTAATGAGAGATTTATTTCTAATTTTTTCTTTAATTTTATCCATATATAGCCTACAATCTGTCCCCCCCCAATATAGCTTATACTCTTAAATATTTATCAAACCATTTTGTTTTTAATATATTTTTTATTTCTTTTACTATTGAATTGAAGATGGTTTTAGTTTGATGTATATAAAGCTTAAAAATATTAAATATAAAACAAAGTGCGTACCTGGTTGGATTCATGTTCAGATTCGGGTCATTCTTTCAAAGCTCTACGACTTGATCTACCGATACTCTTGCAGAGTTTAGGCTACTAAAGCCTAAACTTGAGTGGCACAGTAGAGCACCACATAAGAGGGAATATTAGAAAGAGAGAAGAGAGTAGGAAAACCCAACTATTAAGGTGACCTGAACTGATGGATGGAGGCTTATATTTATAGCTTTAGGCAAGGGTATTTTGGAAGGTAAAATATCCGCCTAATCCATCATTTTGAATTTAAATCCAAATATTTCAATATCTCTTAACTAATAAGATTATGAATTTGAATTTAAATCCATAATCAATCTCAATTAATTCTACATATATCTATCTCTAATATATATCTAATCTTGATAATATAAATTAAGTAATTTATGTCATAACTAATTAGATTTAATTCAAATTGTTTGACTAAGTCAAACATATCGCAAGCTTGCTTGGATATTTGATTGAAATATTCTCTTAATATACAATTAAACAATCCGACCTATCAAAGGCGGATCCAAGCCAAAATATCCAACATCTCCTACTCGCACTTGATGAGCTAACCATTGTGTAATTATCACATCTCTCTTGCTTTATACTCAGTGTCTGTCATGATCCCGTGGGCATGACATCTTCAACTTTGGATGCTTGTGTAGTAGAAGCCCTTTATACAAGATCAACACACAAGGACATCCAGCATGTACCTATAAGTTTGCATATTGCCTCAAACATAAGTTTGCATATGCATTTCTTTTATATCTCAATAAAAGAAGTTCAAGACCTTATGATACCAAAAATCTTTGATCATCTCACTAACAAATCCTTAACAATAGGTTATATAAGGGATCTGCCAATCTTTATGGGCAGCGTGGCATTAAACTGTTCTTGCCTTTCAGCAATTCTATCTTTCATTAAGAGATAATTTATGCCTATGTATTTAGTCCTCCTTGTGCTAGTGAGGGTTCTCAAAACAAGCTATGCCTGGCTATTACAATATATTGAAACATGACCTTCTAATCCATCATTAATTCCTAATCACTGTAGGAACCTTTTGAGCCATACGACTGAAGGGGATTGAAAGACGACGCGCAGCGGAAAAACTCAAAATTTTAAAACTTTCAATCCCTTGCCCGGATCTACCGATCGCGTTTAAGTCAGGTAGTAAGAAGTATTACCTTCGGTGTTCGGTTTCCGAGTGGCTTGGTGATTCCGCCGTTCAGGATGCCTCTGCTCGCCTCCTTTATCGTTCGAAGTCGACAACTCTGACCGGCTTCCTCTACCGGTATCCACACGAATAGCTCTCCGGTTACAGACGGCGTGCTAGCGCCCTTTTTGTCCGTCTAGGGTTTTAGAAATCCGTCCTCTCTCCTCACTTTTGGCCGTCCCTTATCTGCTTAGTGCTTTCGCTCTCACTCATAAAACCCTAGCTCCCTAATATCGAATATATAGGATGCTATAGGTATTATGAATGATATTTTAATTTCGAAATTAATCCTAAATTAATTCCAAAATTAATACAATATTAAATATTGCATTATTAGATAAGAGAACAATTAAATAAATACGGTTTATATTAAATCCGTTTCACAGATTTAATTCACCTATTTATCTAATTCAAAAATAAAGATATGACGGAATTAATTTACATAGATCTAATTTATCCTTATAAATTAAATCTAACAATTAATATCTCTTATATTTATATAATATATATATACGAATATATATATATATACACGTCCACCCTATTTATTCATTGAATCTGGACATATCCTAGATTCAATGAATCTGGACATATCCTAGATTCAATGAATCTGGACATCATAACTCGTGTTGGGCTATTTTGTGTGCGACCCTGTAGGCCCATATGAAGTTGGCAGTGGGCCATTAACCATAATGACTCACAAGTCGTAAGCGGTCTCTAGCAAGACATCACGACTACCCAAAACATATGAGGATCATTGAACGATGCAACCTTTCATACAACCATATCGCGTCCCTTTTGTCTCACAACATTTTGGTCATGGATGAGGCATGGAGAATGTCATCCTCCTATTCATGACCGTTACTTTCTCGATCCCTGAGTAGTCTGAGTATAGAAATGGAATTACCTTTCCATTATAGTATGGCCATACATTTCTCAGACTCACTCATCGAGGGGCCCAGTAATGTCTCTCTACGAATGTGAGGGACAAATTCCATCTTGACCAATCACATTCCTTCGCATGAAAAACCACTAAGCCTGAACATAGTCTTTATGATCACTCAGTCAGAAGTGACTTTTGACTAGGTCAAAGCTAAGCGTTTCTCATGTATGAATCCATGATGATCTCAGGTCAAAGGGCACAGTGACATGGTTTGTATATGAGAGAAGCTTATGACTTAACCCATGCAGCTCTCTCATAGTGGGTCGGTCCAACACCTTGTACTCTTACATGTACCTATGACTTTAATTTATATCTCTATATATCTTTAAAGTCATACTGGTCTTATTTCATCTTTGCTCCCACATAGATGACCAACCAGGGATATTTAGGATAAACCATGAGTTATCCAAGGATAGTCATCACAATAAACATGCAAATAATATGATAACGTAATTAATAAATTCATAAATTAACAATGTTCAAAACATAATGATTGGCCCCTAGGGCACAATTTCCAACAACAACTTCTTGAGTAGTAGTAGAACATACTCTGTGTTTTAATATCATGGAAGATGAAGATGCTTGTGTCTAGTTCCCCAGCCTCATTATTTAGCAAAAACACTTTTCCTAAACTAAATGTTGTTTGCATGAGTCTTTAGCCTAATTAGCATTGTAAGTTGTTACCTTGATGTATAACTTATGATCGATGGTTTTTTTTTAGGCGCCTTATATCTTTTTCACAGCTTCCCAATACTTGTTTACTAAGTTGGACTAAACATTGACTCATAAGTCTAGCTTCGTAACATGTATTTAAATTAGTACATAATGTTGTGTACATTAAGTTACCACTTATGCTTGAGTATGAAATTCTTTCTTGTGTTTTATATTATATTTCTTTATAGGATGGATAACCTCATTTAGGCTATGTCCTTTAGCTCTAGCGGTGTTCATGGATTTGCGGCACATTAAGATGTATGAGGGTTGTACTTGTGCAGGTCTTATGTGATAAGAACAATAATTCCCTTATGCAATCTCCACTTATCTTTTCTCTTAAGATATTTTCTGCTCCGTCCATGTACTTTGTATTAAAATTCAAGGATCACCTGTCCTTTGTTTATTTTGACCACCTTTAAGCTCCTATTGACTGGAGGAATGTCACCATAATAAGGGGATAACGCCATAAAACACAAATCCCAAACTATTTGATGTGCATGCTATAGCTTTTCTTCAATCACTTCAAAGTTATATGAGATTGTCATTCTGTAAAACCTCATATACCACAGTATAGATATTGTTTTGAGAATCCTTTTTCTTTTTTTTCTTTTTCTTATGAAGCCCTCAAGTTACTTCATATAGAGCACATCATCTATTTCTCATTTAAAGAAGTGGTCTTTACATCTACTTGACGTAATTTCAAACCTGAGCTTGGGTACTATAGCCAAATCTAACCTCATGGAATTAAAACTCATAGCAAGTAAAGGTATTGTATCAATCTGTGCTTTGTTGTGTGTACTTTTTAGTTACTAAGTGTACCTTAGGATTATCGATCAGTATTATCACCTTTTATTTAAGAACATATTTGTTCTAATTGCCTTTTGACTTATCCAAAGTGGGATTTGTTGCATAGGATTTTCTTTTTGTGTTTGAGTGAGGTCTTCTAGAATCTCCTTATTGTGATTGTGACTTCTTGTATCTTCTAGCAACATCTTTCCTCTTATTACTTGCCTCCTGTATCTTCTTATCATGAAAATAGTTCAACCATCCCACTCAAATCAGTGACCTGACAAATACTTGTTAGCTCATCTTCATCATTATTCTTCTAAAAAAATCAATGTGAATAAAGCTCTCTTTGCTGGAGAATTTAGTTCCTAAAAACATTATGTCTCCTTGAGTTTGTCTCAACCATTGAAATATCATCATTTTCACTAATGAAAACACACCCTAATTGGATGTTTGGAGTATTTGATGAAGATACATTATTTTATCTTCTAACTCTAGTTCTTTATACTACGGAAGGAATTATGAATGCATGTTGTTAACCCTCTTGGTCTTATGATGCTTAAGTCTTATTT